ACTCATCTTTTCTCCTTGCTCTGCATCTACTCTTAAATGTCCTAACTTTTCATAATTTTGTTACTCAGCACGGTCCTGAAAATTCCCTCCAGCAGCCATGTTTTTACTATTTGTTCCTGCAAAGAATAAGAATTCTGGGATAAAATGCCAGGCTGTCATCTGAACCCAGATGAAACAGACTCACACTATGACTTGCACAGGAAGATGATCTCAATGGAAAATGGAATCTAAAAAGATTATAATGCACTATTTTTGAAATTCAAAAAATTGCAACTTTCCAGATTGTGGTGGCACACTCCCTTATTCCTATCTGTTGGGAGGCAGACACAGGTGGATGTCAGGAGGTTGAGGTCAGCTTGATCTACAAAGCGAGTTTCAGGACAGTTAGTGGCACACAGAGAAACCTTGTCTCAAAAACAAGAAAAAAGCAAACAAAAAATTTTTCACCTTAAGTAAATTTTATGTCACAGAAGAAATGCTAAGGGGACACACTTACTACATGCAATCAACCAACTTTTGCAGCAACATTAAACTTAAACTAGAGAATAAAAATACACAAATATCATCTATACATATTCAAACTTAGAACATTAGAGGAGGCATAACGACCAGAAGCAATATGATGAAAATTTTTTTTCAAGACAGCGTTTCTCTGTGTAGCCCTGACTGTCGTGGAGCTCACTCTGTAGACAGGACTGGTTTTGAAATCACTGAGATTGCTTGCCTCTTTCTGCCTTCCAGTGCTGGAAGTCAAAGTGTTTGTCACCATCCCCACCTTGATGGGAAATCTTAACAAAGTCTTCTTGCAGTTAACCAAGCAAACAGATGAAAGAGAAAATGGGATATAAAATTTTGAGCTAGAGAACATGGAGAGATGGCTCAGTGGTAAAGAACACAGGCTGCTCTCAGAGGATCCAGGTTCATTCCCAGCACCCACATAGCAACTCATAACTGTCTGTACCTGCATTTCCAGGGGATCTGACACTCTCATCCAGATATGAATGCAGGCAAAACCCCAATGTACATAAAATAAAAATTATATAAAAAAGTCTTAAGAAATAATTCTGGAGAACTGTGTAACAAAACAACAAAGTAATGGTAAAGCAACAACGGTTTGCCTTCAGGACTTATGAATTGAGAAGCTAATGTGACTGTATAACCAATGTCAAAGAAAGAAAGGATCATCAATGGTCTAGTTTGCTGTTAGACTAAATTTTATGTCTATCATGGTGTGTTATAGAGAAACTTAGCAGGGCTGGAGAGATGACTCTGAGATCAAAGTGTTTGTCATGCGAGCACTGGAAAGTGAGCTCAAACACCAAGCACCGATGCAAAGGCTGAGTGTGGTGGGTTAGACAGGCTGGTGACAGGTGGATCTCCGAAGCCCATCGAGCAGCTGATTGAGCCAACTGATGTGCTCCAGGCTAAATGAGAGATCCTGTCTCAAAAAATTAGGAGGAGGTAGAGGAAGGCACATGATGTCATTGTCTGTCCTGTACACACACGAAGTCACATACGTGCATATATCATACAAAAAAGAAAGTGGAAAAACTCCGAATTCCCACCATGTTAAAAACAAATGAATATCTTGGCAATGACAGAATGAAAAAAGTCCTTTATGTAAATGAACTGTAGAGTGTCTCTTGTAGAAATGTGTGTGTGAAATAAACAATGCAATTATATTGAAAATGATTTCAGATGAAATCTAAAATAAAGGAGCCGAATAAATAAAAGCACAACAATAGCAAGCAACAGAGATATACAGGAAACATAAAGCCAAGGCCACCACCTTGAAGGGAATACTGCAACACTGCTCTGTGAGACTGCACTGTTGTCCGGGAGGAAAGACAGAGACTAGGACAGAATGCTGCATACAGCGTCTGGAAAACGGCAAATGCACCTTCAAAGATAATGTCATGACTACCTAGGCTTGAAGAGGAATGTGAAAATTCCTATAAAATGTAACATCCCTCCAAATATTGTAGAATTCTAAAATGTCATAGATGGGCAATATTCTCATGAGATTGAATCATTGACAAGATCAGATGAAAAAGTCTTAACGAAGGAGGAAAATGGGGGCTTCAGATGTCTCAGTGGTTAAGAGTACTGGGTGGTCTAACTGAGAGCTTGGCTTTGATTACCAACACCACAGAGATGCCCTCAATTGTCTGTAATACCAGTTCTAGGGCATCTGACATCTCTGACTGTTTTCCTGGGGCTTTGCACTCATGTGGGGCACAGACATACATGCAGGAAAATCACCATACAATAATATACATGAATAAAAATTAAAAACAAAAATATTTAAAGTTTATGAAGATCAAGAGAAGTATTGTACAGAAAAAAATAAATGAGATAGACTAAACTGACAGAGAAGTAGGGGAAATATAAATCTGAAACCAAAACAAAACACACAAAGTGTAGGGATGGTAGACGGGGAGAAGAGAATAACAGTGGAAAGGTTGCCATACCTCCCTCTCAGTCTGAGTGCTGAGCACTTTGGAAGTCTTATTCAGGGCAGTGTGGATCCCACAGGCATGAAGCATCATAGGCAAGAAGCGTCTTGGAAAGGCTGCCTAGCAGGAGCCATGACTAAATAAGGGGCAAGATAAGAGGACTCTTCTTCCCAGTGGACACGGACCAGCTTGTCACCAGTGGCGCCAGTGGCCTTGTTAACTGTGCATCATTCTGATGCCCTCCAAGGAAAATTTCACTCTCCCAAGACAATGTGGATCCCATGGTAATTGACTAAACCAACTAAATAAGAATGCAGGCTC